GGGACATAATAGTCGGATTCAAGAATACCTGCAAACACACTTATTTGCAATTCTAATCTATTATGCGCTGCGCCTGTACACAATTAATTCACATATATCACGTAAGCCCTAATTCGAATAGTGCACAAAGTCGAATTAGCCTGGGCTCTGATACCAGTTGTTGGGTTCTATTAGGAACATCGACAATGTGCACATTGAAATCTATTGAATAATAAATCCTAACGCAGCGGAATCTATAGTTAGGACTAGGACTTACGGTTTAAAATTTTTTGCCGACTCTGAGACGTTTCTGATTTCCGTTGATGGAGATTGTCTGTACACCAAAGTCTAATGGGCGGATAGACTTGGCCTTTCTCGAATCTAATTGAGTCACCATGGTGCTCGAATCGCTCATCAAGCTCATCGGATTGTCTCGGACCTTCGGTTAGTGTATCGGACCGCTCGGGAACCATCACGTACATGATGGGATGCATCTGGACCGCTGGTCACGCGCTGGGCTCGAGTTGAACCGGTCTGGGCTGTCTTGCAACTTTCTGGGCCGCGCTAAGCTGTTGGGCCGTAGAGACTCGCGCAATTGGGCCAGGGCTGCCCAAATTTGGGCCACAAAAGCGTGCTGGGCTGCTAGAATGCTCGCGGGCTGGAGGTGGGCTGCTCGCGGGCCGCACGGGCTGAAGACTATGAGAGCACTGCGGGCCGTGCGCGGGCCTGATGCGGGCCATAAAGCCCGCGCCCCTGGAACCAAAAAAAACTCAACTATTTACGCAAGGAGGAGGATCGATCCCGCGACGTCGCATGGAGGAGACAGCGCCGCACGCCACTGGACCACGCTCGGCGGTTGTGACAATGGAACCTGGACGCGAGATTAAGAACCTGAAGAACCTGAACATGAGCTGAAGACCTGGGCGCCGACAGAATGGCTGGGAACGCGGACGGGATGCTGGAATGACTCCGGTGAAATTCCCGACGGGATGAACATATATATATAATCAATAGGGTACGAATAACAACCTTTGAATCTTCTATTGTATGACCTTTACACGATCTCTAATAA